TAAGATTTCAAATGGTCCAATAAATCGGCGATTTAGTTCTCCCTCTTGTCAAATTTACTGGTTCCCTCGAAATGAGTGACATTAAGGAACACCCGATCGCTTTTCTCAAATTTTAAATCCCTCTTCCGGGCGTCCGCATAACTCTTCTGTCTGCTCTAAGCCATCTAAATGTTCTACTTGATCTTAACTATTTTGGCCGTAGTCTCCTCTATGAGATCTAGGCCAAATAATTTTCTATTACTCATTTCTTCCCAACATATCGGCGATCTGCATTGGTGGTCATACAACGCCTTATACGGTGTCATGCTAATACTTACTTGGTAGCTGTTGTTATAGATGAACTCTATCAGGGGTAGATGGTCATCCCAATGGCCTCCGAAGTCAAGAACACAAGCTCAGAACATATCCTCAAGTATGCAGATTATCCTTTCTGACTGTTCATTGGTCTGAGGGTGGAATGCAGTACTAAGAGACAGTTTCGTTCCCATGACTTGCTAAAAACTATACTAGAACCGAGAAGTGAATCTGAGGTTCCTGTAGGATACTACTGTCACTAGCACTCTATGTAATTTGGCTCTCTTGGATATATATTCTTGCCAACTTTGTCAAGGGATCGGTCATCCTGATGGCCAAGAAGTGGGAAGATTTGGTAAGCCGGTCAACAATTACTCAGATGACATCATGTCCTGAGCGTGCCCTAAACAATTCTGTTACGAAATTCATGGTGATATGTTCCCATTTCTACTTCGAAATTTGTTAATGGCTGAAGTAGCTCACCTAGGCGTTAATGCTCTGCCTTGACTTGCTGACATACCAAACACTTAGAAACAAAGTCAGTTACATCTTTTTTTATCCCGTTCTACCAAAATTGGGGTCGCATACTTTGATACATCTTAGTGCTTCCGGGATGCATGATAAACTTTGAGTTATGAGTCTCTATCATGATGTCCCTTTTCAACTCACTGTCACATAGAACACACATATTAGGTTTAAGAAAATTCTTACGTCTTATCATTTTAAGAAAATATTATATTAACAGTTTAAAGTAATATTAACAATTAGAAATTTCAATTGGGTCGGTTCAATTATCATATCTTCATATGCATAATCTATACATGTAATTTAATTAATAAATTAACTAATCTTTATCTTATAAATATTATCACATATATATTAGTATTATCAGATCATTAATGTCCTATTTTGATGATCTAACGACTACGAATATTTTAAATTAAATCATAAAAAAGTTTTACTCTCATTGTCAAGATCTTCAACTTGATGTAAAATCTATAAATTTAATCAAAGACTTTATCATATAAATTAAACAATAAGATAATAAAAATATTATTGTCATGTATTAAAATAAATTGTCAAATAATAATGTATTAAATATATTACACGAATAATTAAATCGTGTGTATAACACTTATATCCCTAACACAAACAATGTCAAGATCGTGTCTTGTTATCATTGTTGAATGCCAAAGCCGTTAACAAGCTCGTTGGAAAGACTGCAAAAGAACTGAAGATGGACTGTGCTAGATCGTTGATGATATGGAGTCTCCAAAATCGGTGGGGACGCGAAGGGTTGTACACGGGCAGCTCTTGAGGCGATGAGCATCTGATGAAGACAACTCTCTTCACCCCACAAACCGGCGGCTTGACCACTACCACAGATTACCACTCTTCTCTAAAAAGTTCTTATTTTCTTGTATTGTTTAGTTAAATCAGATTTATAAATTATAAATTCCCTATTAAAATTACCTTTTTCACCAATAATAATAGTTACATAATGTTTCTGGTAATTACTAATTACAACTCAAATCTCGACGAATTGAAAAAAAGTTGATTTTGCATAGCAGACTATGTTTCCAAATTTGGTTGTTTGTGGTTTTCTGTTTTGTGGCAATTTCTGATATATTCGTTTTCTAATTTGTAGAGTAAATACATAGTGGTGTTGAAGCTGATATTCAAGGAGCAAACAGAGAAGTATAGGAGTCATCATCAGCTAAGGGGGGTGTTTGCATATATGTTTGAAGATATCAATGGTATGCAAAAATTCTGGATATAAAGATTGAATACCATAGATTTTTAATGATGATTTAGATTGGAAGATTCCATTGTTAACCCATCTTTCAGGACAAAATTCCTCAGCATCTTCTTCCCAATTATAAGGCTTTCTACCCATAGCAAAAGGCATCTAGTATACCTCATCTATACTTCTGCGCATCTCCCATCCTTTAACAATACTTTTGGCATCCAAGTAGTGCAAGTCTAGGAAAAATCGTCATTTAAATTTATAATATAGAAATCAACTAATGCAAAAAATTCGGCATAATTATAGATTTGTTAACACTATGTCTAAGAAAAGTCTACAATTTGTATAAAATTTATTTCAACTTCATATTTACTATAAATATGCAAAATTCAAGTTTTAAGCTCTTAATAAATTTGTACATTAAATTAAAACAATGAATTTTAAATTCAATTAAGTTCAGTAAAGTTTAAAATGAATATCAACATGTAAAATTTTACATGAATATAAACTTTAACATTTTACATAAAACTTTCATTATTATTAAACTCAAATAAGTTTTAATTTTTAAATAAATTTTACCTAAATTTTAAATTCCTTTTTAACATGGAATTTATGAATTTCATTAAATGATTTTTTTTTTTTTTTTAAAATATGAATTTGCTTCAAAATCCCGGCTGAAATTATAAATTAGGCGGGCCGATGGGCCAAAGTTCAATGACCGAGCAAATGGGTTCCAAGGGACTCTGGAAGCTACTACTGAGCTAACGGGCTACCGGCAGCTGTTGGCCTGTTAACATGCTCCTCAACGAACGTAACCGGGATTTGTACATCGCTTTCGTCAACTTATGATTACCAGTTAAACTTTCATTGATTCAGTAAGTTGATTGGTGTGCTGTTTAGTTCTCCCCAGGGATGATCTGAAAGTTTCTGAATTGGTTAGTGCAATTCTCTCTCTCTTTTTTTTTTTCTTTTTCTTCAATTTCTTTGCTTTTCTGCAATCAATTTCCTTTTAAACCAGATATGAGCTTTCTCAAAGGAATCATCGATTCATTCGGCTCGATATTCTCCAGTGATAGCTCGCTGCATGAACCTCAACTAAAGCCTAGCACTTCGTCTTCCCAGTCCATGGAAGGGGTAACTGGAACTTCAGTTTCAAACGAACGCATCGCGTATAAGCTCAAAGGATTCTTCGATTTAGCAAAAGAAGAGATCGCCAAGGCTGTCAGGGCCGAAGAATGGGGCTTGGTCGACGACGCGATTCTTCACTATAAGAACGCCCACCGTATTTTGATCGAAGCTAGTTCCACTCCTGCCCCTTCTTATATAAGCTCTAGGTATCCGTAATTAAGCTCCATGCAGTTTAACTTCAAGGAATTTTGGTCTTGATGCACTAAGAATCTGTAATTTTCATATTTTGTGATAGTGAGCAAGAGAAAGTGAGATCATATCGACAAAAAATATCGAAATGGCAGGGTCAAGTTTCCGAGAGATTACAAATTCTTAATAACCGGTCAGGTACTTATCTTATGCTTAGTTAGAATAACTAAGCATTGATTATAGACTAGTTTAAAAAAAAAAAAATTCCTGAACTTTTTTCCGTATCCTCATTTCAGGTGGCACATTTGTGAACAAGGTATGATTTTCCAGAGCTGAAGTGTTTTAACTTTTTGTTTTTCATATCCTTGTACCTTATGTAGTTCCTACTTCGGATCATTGACATGTTTCTTTGGAAGATTATTCTAATTAAAACATTCTTGTGAACATCAACAAAAACTTATGTGGTTCTTTATGGGGAATAATTATATGTAAAAGGTAGTCGGATCGCCAACATCAAGTATGCTATGAGAAGCAAATGAACCATGTTACTGAAAGGAGTAGCTGTCTTAGAGGTCTAACATGGTTAATTTGTATCAAGGTGCAAGGGTCTTCACATTTTTCTATTTTAATTAAGATATTTTGTGAGCTTCAATAATTTATGTGGTTCTTTGTGAGTAATACTTATGTATAAAGGATTGTTGGGATTGCCAACAACATACAGTATGTTATAAGAAGCAATTGAGCTGTGTTATTGAAAAGTAAGGAGCAGTTATATTGGAGATCCAACCACCTGATTAGTTTGCATCTAGGCGCAGGGGTCTTCACATTTTTTTGCTTCTATTTCATGTCTTTTTTTGATTATTTTCTTAAAGACTTTTCTTCATTTTCTTATAAAAGAGATGTGATTTAATTATCAGTGTTGATCTTATGTCATTTATGCGTTCTTTTAATTTATTGAAATTTTTGCAGAGCACCTTAGTTCCTTCACATACAGCTGCAGGTCCATCTACATCATCCAATCCTAAAAAAAGTATGCCACAAAAGCCTCCACGTTCTAGTATAGGGAATGGAATTGTAACAAACCAGACAAGTAGAGTTACAAGCCCAAAACCTGTGCAAGAGTCCAGTAATGGCTATGAATCAAAGTTGATTGACATGATAAATACAGCAATAGTGGATAGAAGTCCGTCTGTCAAATGGGACGATGTTGGTGAGGAGTCAATAGAATTCTATCTTTTCGTGTTTTCTCAAATAGTTTTTTACTTGTTTATCTGAACTTTTGCAGCTGGCCTTGAAAAGGCAAAACAAGCTTTAATGGAAATGGTTATTTTGCCAACTAAAAGAAGAGATTTGTTCACTGGCCTCCGGAGGCCTCCTAGAGGTAACCTTGAAAGACTAATAAGAACCAGGAATATTAGTGTAGCAATTCATGATGTTTTGCGAATAAAAGTTTTATTTTCACTAGGTCTGCTTCTCTTTGGCCCACCTGGTAATGGGAAGACCATGCTTGCCAAAGCAGTTGCATCGGAGTCAAAGGCAACATTTTTCAATGTTTCTGCCTCTTCCTTAACATCAAAATGGGTGTGTAAGCCTTATTAGGATGTAGTACTAGATGGTTTGTTCTTGATATTTGTCCAAAATTTCCAGAAATTTTGATTATTTGAATTTATTCAGGTGGGAGAGGCGGAAAAGCTTGTCCGGACTCTGTTTATGGTGGCTATATCCAGACAGCCATCTGTAATTTTCATGGATGAAGTATGATTGTCTTTCGGCAAATTTCCTTGTTAGATTCAATCAATCGGCATTGCCCTACTCGTCTTATGTGTTGAAATGAAAAATAGTTACTGTTGTTACAGTGACTGGTACACCATGATAACTGAATTTGCATCTTATTTATGGTAATCTGGACCAACTGATCAACCCATATGGCGTGTTTGTACAGTTAATACTCAGTCAGCTGTTAGAAAAATCATCCCTAATTATCTGTTTCAACTTTTTCATACTTATCCAACTCCAGTGCCTATTATAAAACTAATCTGTTAGACAGGAGCATGTTTTTGAAGTGGTGACAGTTGCCTCTAAATTAAGATTTTCTTAATTATAATATATAAATACCATTTTTCCTGGTGGACAATAATTTGAAGATGCTCAGAATAAATCCCTTTTTCTCTTCTCCTCTCTTTTTTAAGAATTGACTATCCTTACTGTAGTTAGTTAAGTACCTGATGAAAAATAGAATTGGGAGTGCTGATAATGTAGAATGATTCTTTTGGTGAAGGATGCAATGAAGAACTGAAGGTGGCTTCTTAATAGTTTTAAATACATTAGAGTTCATTAGTATCGTGAATAGGATAAATGGCACCATTGGTGGAAGATGTCTCATAATGTTGTGTATATTATTGTTGTAAATGAAAAATGCTTGCAACTCAGAAGACTGCCTTTTCTAAAGGAAACAGAGGATGCTATTCACAAGGCATCAAGGGGTGCTCTGAGGTAAATTAGGGGTTTAAAAAAGAGAACTGCTAAAAGGATCTATAAGGTCCTTTGAAATGTCTCCAGCTTTGAGACAATGACCTTTGAACAAAATACACAATACATAGCATCTATAGTATCTATTACTACCAAAGGCAAGCAGATGTGCGAAGCTCTTTTTTTTTTTCCCAAAACAAAGATACTAGAAAAAGAGCCTATTGTATTCATTTTTAGCTTTATCTTTCTTGAGCACGCTTATCATTGTTAGAATTATGTTTCTTGAGCTTGCTTATCCTTCTTAGCATTGTTTCTTAACCTATATTAAGTTAGTTATCACCATTTCTTTCTATAATTTCAGAATATCCTCTTTCCTTTTTTGTTTAATAGATTGATAGTATCATGTCGACAAGATTGGCTAATGAGAATGACGCAAGTAGAAGGTTAAAGTCAGAGTTCCTAATACAGTTTGACGGTGTTACCTCCAATCCTAATGATTTAGTCATTGTTATTGGTAAGCCTATAATCGGATTCAGTTAAGGTTTTCGTTTGCATAAGATAACTGCAGTTTATATCGTCTGATTTTACAACTTTGAGAGAACCTTATAACAATCAAGTTGGCTTGAGAGTGTTGCATAGCTTCATATTAGGGTCCAAACTGAAAATTGTTATAATCATTCTCAAACTTTATTATTCTTGCCTTGCCCGTATGTACTCCATCTAATGAGACATATTGTGCGTGTTTTCTATGTATGTAGCTTTCCTATTTTTCTTCTTTGCACTTCATGTTAATGCAGACTTTACATTGATGCAGGAGCTACAAATAAACCACAAGAATTGGATGATGCAGTTCTTAGGAGATTGGTGAGCATGATATTGGCCTTCTTTTAACCTTACCTTTTTGGAACTTCTTTCATTTGTGGAATATGATTTCAGATTTTTTATATTATATCTTTTCATTATCTTTTTAATTTGTACAACTAGCGTAATTTGTTTAGCATTTTGGGAAATTTTGAAATATATCTGTCCATAGCATGAGAGAAAACATTTCTCTTGTTAAAAATCAGGCATTATTTTTCTAAGAGTTCTTTCACCTTTGATCCTTGTTATTTAACAGCCCCTTTAAATAGTTGGAATTACTTTGTTGACGGCTTGTTACGCAAGCAGGACCATTTCTGCTGGGCAGGTTCACTGGGAAACCCTACTAGCATAGGTCCCGTGGTAGCAGCAATAAAGAGGAGGAGGTTAATCTCACCCAGATTCTGTTGGATGATGATCATTAGAGAAGTATAAGTTACTTAGTAATTCTAATTAGGATTAGCTAAACCTTAGGAGATAGAATCAGAACAAAACAAGATTTAAAAATCCTGGAGAGTTTAATAGGCTCTAACTATGATTAACTTCCTTATAACGAAGTCTATTATTATCAATAAAATTATTCGTCATTGATTAGAGTAAACCAAAGTTTATACTTAAAGATCAGAGGTTATCCTCAACATGCTTCATGGGCCGACAAGGCCAGAAATCAGGAAAGCAAGCAGCCAGGTTGTTTTGCCACTTCAGTGTCCAAGGCCTTATGATCAGATCTGGAGCACAGGACTGTGACACAATTAAACAACATTGTTTAACCTACAGATTCATGATCAGCAAATTGATGAAGGGCATGCCTTAATATTTTCAGTTAGAGATGGAAGCAAAGTCAAGATTAAGAAAGAAGGGTCTGAATTAACGTTAGGAAGTTGGTCACGCGACTTTGGATTTTATCTACTAATAATCTAGTATGTAGCTTCAGAAATGCCAATTCTTTTACTAGGGCAGTTGTAGATAGTTTTGTGCATGGCTAATGTTGGTCATATTCTGTTATTGGAAATGGTGACAGGAAAACACAGTAAGGAAAATTTCTTGAACTGTAGATATTTATCTAATCCCTTTTGGACTTCTATATATTACTGATATTCTTCTTTTTACCGTCAATGTCGTCTGAGTTGACTTATAACTGCTATAGCATGCTTTCTGGAACTTTGTACCAGGTAAAGAGAATATATGTACCTTTACCGGATGAAAATGTCCGGAGACTTCTTCTTAAGCACCAGTTGAGGGGCCAAACCTTCTGCTTGCCTGGTAATATTTACTCCTGTTCTGTAATTGGTTGGGTAATACATAAATCTTTCAGTTGAGTGGTGCTGGACTATTGTCAAGCTTGTTTAATTAACAATTCTTAGCAGTTTCTGATTCTTGGTGGCTGAAAAGAGGTATCAATTAATTATCGTTAGCTCTTGCAGGTAGAGATCTGGAGAGACTTGTGAGAGAAACAGAAGGTAAGATGTTAATCTGTATTATGGGTTTGTTCAAGTTTCAAGGGCACATTATTCTTTAATCAAAGAAGTGATTTTGGCCCCAAAAAAACACTGTAGCACCATATACATGTCAATCCTTGGCTTGCCGCTAAACATTTAGTTATCCAATCCCACATCTCTTGCCCTTGTTATTTCTGGCCTTCCTAAACCCTTCTTCTTTGGTGTGGATTCTACCTTCCATCCTGAATTTGCAGGATATTCTGGAAGTGATCTGAGAGCCTTGTGTGAAGAAGCTGCAATGATGCCAATTAGAGAGCTTGGTGCAAGTATTCTTACTGTCCAGGCAGATCAGGTAGGCCAGAAATTCATGGCTTCTTTTCGAGCTATGGCTTATGACTGAATCTTGATTGTATTTATTTAGTATCATTTTTGGATGTATTTCCATAAATGGAATGGTCTATCACCCACAATTTTTCTGTTCCTAACTCTTGTGTCAAACATTGAACCTTTCACTTAGCCATGTGTCCTGCAGTTTATTTGAAATTATTTTGTTCCAATGAAAAGATCTGGAAATTTTGGATTGTTGGATACATGCCTGCCATCTGCTTCTGCATTTAAGAAATTAATTTGATCAGGTCCTGTCTTTTGTGATACTCAAATTCTTTCTGTCAATAACTGAAGGTAAAACTTGATTGTCTAAAATTGAGTGAGAAATTAACTATGATAAACTATAACGTATTGAAGTTTTGTGGTGAAATATGAATATAACTTTTACTTTCTCCATAGTACTGCCCCGTTCACGTGGCTTTGAGGATTATCTTTTACCTTCATGTGCATTCCAATTCATTGTTTTTGGTGCTATTTTCCTCCAAATATGGATTAAAACTTGTGCGAAGTTAACGCTTCCAATTTGGGTTAATTTCAATTCCATGCAGGTCTCTTACATGTGGCTGAATTTTTCTTTTTTTCTACATTGCAATTGTTTGGTTGGAAATAGGGACTAGATAAAATTTATCTGAAATAGTTGTTGATACTGACCGGTACCATGTTGAACAGGTAAGAGCATTGAGATATGAAGATTTCCAAAAGGCTATGACTGTCATCAGACCTAGCTTGAACAAAAGCAGGTGGGAAGAGCTTGAGCGATGGAATGAAGAGTTTGGCGCTAACTAATCTCCGAACTGTAACATTAATATTAAACACCATTCTGAACAAGTCCTAGGAAAAGCAAATATAGGCATAGCCTATAGTGCAATTCTTGTAAATGTCATGTCTCACTAGTTAATTTAGTTTGATTTGTGTAAATTTTTTATATTCTTTGACATAAAAGATGTCATGAATGTGGTTATGGTGTGGCAAAAAAAGATGTTTGGTTCTTGAGAAAATATTTGTTGGATAATCTGTTAAATCTTAAAGTTTCTCAGGAGAAAAATTTAACAGTATAAAGCTCAGTAGCCACTTGCCATGCGGGCGTATGTCTCCCCTGCCTGGTTGAGTAGAAATGGCTAAATGGACATTAATAATTAAAGGTTTGATTTAAAAAGCAACCATGTACCATGAGAATTAAACATATAAATTGAGATGAGAAAACTTACTGTTTTTTTTTTCAATTATAAAACAATTACACCTTAAACTCTATAAGATAATTGCGTTACATTAAGTAATTAAGAAAATTATACAAAATCTATATATATTTTTTTCCTTTTGGAATTAAATAAAGTGATAACTTTTAATGCTGTTTTCCTTTCTTTCCTTCGTCAAGCACTCTTTGGTTACAAGTCCAAAAAAAAAAAAAAAACAAGAAAAATAGTTATAAACAGCACAGGAACCTGTCTGTTAAATAAATAACGTTACAGTCCACCCAATCAAGTGATTTAAAAATTTAAATTCTCTCACTCATTCGCCCAAATCTTATGAAATTCTAACTAGTAATTAGTTTCTTGTTCCTTCGATCAAATTAGGAAAAGATCGAAATTTTCTAACGAATACTCAACCGGCTAATCCTAAGAGAGAGTGGTCCTTGAAAGATTTTGAAATCGGAAAACCCCTTGGTAGAGGAAAGTTCGGTGGAGTCTTCCTCGCCAAAGAAGTCCATGTGTTTATTTCCTATTTGGTGGTGCGAACACTTTGATTTGTTGATCATTAAATATTTTAATTACTGATTACAACTCAATTCTCGATGAATTGAAGAAAATTTGATTTTGCATCGAAGACTGTGTTCGAATTTATTTGTTTATGATTTTCTTTTTCGTGGCAATTGTTGATATATTCATTTTCTAATTTGTAGAGCAAATACATAGTGGCGTTGAAGGTGCTCTTCAAGGAGCAGTCTCCACTACCCAAACGTACTGCATCTTTACAGTTGGTTTCATGACAGTGGACGCATTTCTTGATTCTCGAGTATGCTCACTGTGGTAAGATTTAAAGAGAGCTTAGGAAAAGCAAGTGGCCAAGGCGACTCTCATTTGCTCTCAACATCTCTGTCTTCGCATCCTATTGCATTAACGTGTTTGATCTTTTGAATTTTGTTCGTCTTCGTTCTTCTTAGTTATAATATCTTGATTATAGTTGTTTATCTTTTCCAATTAATTGCATAAAATGATTTTCTTCTATTTTTTCCTTTTAGTTACTTATATTTTCTTAGCTGGAGATATGATTCGGTTGTTTCCTTTTCCTTTTCTTAGTCTATAAGGGTTTCAAATATATGATATATTAGGGTTTGTTCATGCTTAATTTTGCATGCCACTTTCTTACGGTGTTACACCATATTTAAATTGTAGTAAATGATAGTCAATTAATGTATAGTATTCTACGGATATGAGAAAATTATATTTATTTCAACTTCCAATCGAATAAGATGGTAGCAAATAGTATTTTACTAATAATTTTGGAATGAATTTTAAAACCAACGCATCGGTAATATGTGACAGACATGTAATTTTTTTCCTCTTATACCATCATAAAATATATTTTATTCCAGTTACACCTTCAAATAAACACCCTATTTCTCTTCTCATTTTCTCAAATTAACTCATGGTATGTGATTATTTTAAATATATTTTAATTTGTTATTTATTAAAATAATTTTAAATTTAATATAATAATATAATTACAACAATTTATTTTTAATATATAATAATTTTATTTTTATTAAAATTAAATGTGATAATATAAATAATTATTATTTATTTTATCAAATATAAAAATTTAATTTGATTATATATAATAATTATTTATTTAAATACAAATTTAATTATATTCTTATATAATTTTTTTTTTCATTACATACTTTTTATATAACATTTATTATTACAGAATAATAGGTAGAGCTAAATTAGTAATTTGACTAAAAATACAACTATACAATCCTATCGTCCAAACAAACAGTTGTCATTAACATACATTAATACATAACCATCCAAACATAAAAAAATTTACAATTTTTATCATGTGTCATTGTCATTCAATCACTGTTATTGTTATATATTAATTAATCATTACTAAAATTTATCCAAACCAAGATATTAGGGCTTCAATAATACCATTCTCCTCTAATTTGAGTTCTAATTTGAGTGTTTCTGTCTTATGAAATTTGTTATACTTCCCATATGTTGGACTTTCATCTATATCTTTTCTAGAGATTTATTAATTGGTTCTTGTAAATTTCAGGGCATTGCTAGTCTTGCTCGCGCCTTGGCATATTGCCGCGAGAAGCATATAATTCACAAAGATATCAAACCAGAAAATTTGTTGGAAACCACCAGCAAGTTTATATATGTATACGTATAGTCAATATATATCAATATATACATGTATATAAACACAAACAGCACACATGTTTCGTATGTATATCTACCCACGTCACCACCATTTCGCTTTACCTTCCATCTCTAGATATGGAATGGCACTCTCCCTAAACTCTTCCTCTGCATTTAAATTAGCACACACGTGTGCAAAAAAAAAATTAACATACACGTGTCAATCTTTATGGAAAACTACAAAAACGATCGACCCAATCTCCTTAAACACACTGTTTCATTGCTTCATCGTGTATATAAATAATTAAGGTACAATGCATCAGATGATAGGAGTGATTTTGGATTATTCATTTCTCTCTTTCTCCGTGGAGCATGACAACCAAACAGCATCAAGATTGTATCTTGTTATCACTCTCGAAAGCCAAAGCTGGTAACAAGCTCGCCGGAAAGACTGCAAAAGAACTGGAGATGGACCGCGCTAGATCATTGATGACATGGAGTCTCCAGAATCAGTGGGGAAGCAAAGGGTTGTACACGCATCTTAGAGAAGATCGCCTCTGAGCGGTCAAGGCTTAAACTCGTAGTGTAGGAAATTGCATTTATAGGAGGGGAGTGTCTGTAATCATCAAGTTTAGCTTTCTTTTCATGTCAGTTTTTCTTTTCTCTCAGCAAAGAAATCTAATCTTAATGGTAAACTAAGTTTTCTTTCTTGATGAGGATGGTAATAAATTATACTACAAATTCAAGTGTCGACTGCTTAGAGGCGATCGAGGCAAGAATGAATTCCCCAAGAACTATTCTTGATGAGGATGGTAATAAATAGCATCTTCCCCAAGATACAAGTCTTCCTCTATTATCCTCAGCATTTGCCTGTGCCCACCGACTTTAGGAACTCCATATTATCTGACGACCTATCACTTTGTCTTTTGTTTTTCCCAGCCTTTCCAGCAAGCTTGTCGCTGGCTGCTAGCTTATTACATGAGTTCCTTTAATCTCGTCCACAGTCTATTATAAATTTTATTTGGGTATATATATTATATGTAAGCAAATCTTAGTTTATAGGATACTACCACCACTTCAAAGTCATGCTCCCGTATAATTGTTTAGTTCATAATAGGCAATGCAATTTATTAAGTATGAAAAAGTTGCAATAGATAATTAGGGATGATTATGCTCTAACAGCTTATTGAGTGGTAACGGTATAAACCAATCATATGGTTTGGTCAATTGGTCCATATAAAGGGTTGGAGAAGAAAAATGAGAATAAGAATATATATATATAGATGGATTCATATATGGTAATCAACATAAATCATTCTATTAATTACACTAACATATTTGAAAAGATAATCATACTATTATATATATAAAATATTCTATAATATTCTAATACTTCCCTTCAAGGTGGAGCATAAATATTAATCATGCGCAGCTTGTTCTGAAGATATTCAATCTATGTTTCATTTAGAGAATTTGTAAATATATCACCAAATTGTTCTCCTATCTTCACATAACCAGTATATAAAAAATTTTCTGAATCTTCTCTTAGATAAAGGACAATCAAACCTCGATATGTTTGGTTCTCTCATGATACAAAGGATTCATGACAATATGAAGAGCAATCTGATTATTGCACCAGAGTTTCGCATGAGATGTGGGTCTCAAACATACTTCATCTAGAAGATGATGTATCCATAAAATTTCGCATGTAGACTGGATCATAGCTCTATATTCAGACCTTGTACTTGAGCAAAATACAACTGTTTTCTTCTTACTTTTTCAAGATACAAAATTTCCATCAATAAAAACACAATAACCTGCAGTAGACCCCCTATCAATCTTAGATTCAGTCCAATCAGCATTTATAAAATATTTAATGTGAGTATGTCCGTAATTTTTAAACACTATACCAAGTTCCGAAACACCTTTTAAGTAGCACAAAATCTGTTCCAGAACCTCCTAAGGTTTGATTGTAGGTGTAGAAATAAAATGACTAACAATACTGATAGGGTATGTTATGGACAAGTTATAGTGAGGTAATTTAATCTTCCAACTAATTGTTTGTATTTTTTTAGATCATCAAAGGGATCACCATCGTTAAGATATACATTTAGTACCATTGGTGTATTACATGACTTAACTCTCAGCTTTCCTGTTTCTGCCGGTAGATCAAGTACATACTTTCTGTGAGATAATAGAATCCCTTTCTTATTTCTTATTAATTCAACCCCCAAAAAATATTTTAGTTATTATAAGTTTTTAGTATTAAATTTGGTATGCAAGAATGACTCGAGAGAGAATATTCTTACATGATCATTTTCTATAATCACAATATTATTAACATAAATAATAACAAATATAATATTAGCTATTGATTGTCTATAAAAGACTGAATGATTACACTTGCTCATCTTCAATCCGAACTCACAAACTACCTCACTAAACTTGTCAAACCACGTACGAGGACTCTACTTCAGATCATACAAATATTTCTTCAAATGATAGACTTTTCTGTATTCTTCCTAAATAACAAATTCTGGTAGTTGCTCCATATACACTTCTTCTAAGAGATCACCATGAAGAAATGTATTTTTAATGTCTAGCTGGTGTAAAAGTCAATCTTGGGA